GCTGCTGTCATCCGGGAACAGGTGGCCCGAGCGGTCTATGAATTTCTGCACTCGCACCACAAAATAGGAGAGTTCTTCGAGGTTGCCGTTGAACGTAGCTTCGATCAGGTCTATTGGGCGTGGGGTTACCTGCCCTCTTGGCCCGGGCGGTCGCGGTGCCGGTACGGGGACATCTCCTGGCCGCGGAGCCGGTACTGCACCCGGCTGCCCTGGCACCCCAGGTCCCGGTGCTGGTTGTCCCGGTTGCACAGGCGCCACCGGCGGTCTCCTCTCCCAAGCCTCGTCAATTGCTCTCGTGACCAAGTCCGGGATAGCCATGATGACTTCCTCTAAAGTTTGCTGTAGCAGCTGAATATTCCGATCAGCCGCTTCTACACCTTCCGTCAGCCCCTCATCTAGGGACACTCGGCCACTCCGGGCCTTCGATCGGTCCGTCACCCACGGTTTCGCGATCGGTTCGAACTGGGCTCCCAATGGAGGTAATCCAGCCACCGCGGTGAGACCCCTGTCATATAGGCTGTCTCTAGTGGGGCCTCCCGAGAACCTCTCCTTAGTCGACTCGGGGTTGAACTGGCTCCAGCTTTGTCCAGTTCGATTCCTTGATGATTGAGGTGTCAGGAACAGATGCGCCGACGAGTACCGGGGGACCGTTACCCCCACCGCTTCAGAAGCCAGTGGTTGCGTGGTCACCGGTACTGAGGCTGTAGTCACGGGGGGATTCCTCCCGCCATCAGGCTCGCCAGGTTCCCCTTCATCATCAGGGATGTTAGGTGGTGGCTTCCCCTCTCCGTTACTCATATCGGGATGGATAGATGCGCTGAGATAGGGAAGGATGGATTCTTAATAGTATGTCAGGACCCACAGCAACAACGAAGTACACACTTGCAGGAAGGTTTTACTTTTATTGAAGCTATAGATGCATGAACAGGAACACTGTTAGGAATGACGAGTAATCTAAGAGCATGACAGGTTATGGTACATTCAAATCAGCCAGACCCAATTACGGGAGTTCCCGCGCGCGCCATTAGGCCTGAGAACAAATGGTTATAATAAACAGCTTCCCACGACTCATCCTAGGGAAAGCCAAAGCAACTTCTCCAGCGACTCCTCCAGTGGCCTTGAAAGATACGCGTTGTGATAGCAAGGCAATTAAGTGCAAGGAAAGGAATTCTTATGAAAGGGAAAACAGGAAAACATTTGGCAGCTAGCTGACATGGGCACACAAACGTTCAGTATAGCCCTGACAGGGCTTCCTCTGTAAGGAGGTGACCTGAAAGATCTTCCCTAGGTGGCAGTTTTTGTGGATGTAAAATTTCCTAGGGATTCCCGGAATTACAGCTCATCTTCAGAGGACAGAGATCAGTTTCCCTGGAGAAAAATGGATGCTGTGGCATTGTTCCCCACTATGTCCCCATCCTCCCCAGGCTCTGTCCACAAATCTCCAGAAGTTTCCCAACCTGGATCTGGCAACTCTACCTCCCCCCCCCCGTCCCCCACCAGTGGCCAGAGAGGACCTGACAACCCTACATCCTGCTACCCATGAGCTGCTGCCTCCAGAGAAATCAGCCCTCCTTATTTCTTCCTTGCTCTCCCGAACCTCTTTTAAAAGTGGCCTGGCAAGCTGCGCGTGCCAGTTTCCAGACTCTTACAAGCTGCCTTCTTCTCATGAGCTCAGCTGCCATTTGTGGTTGGTTGCGGCCAGGACAACCAAAATGGTGTCCTAGCTCTTGTTGGACGAATTTGTGAGATGAGGCCATCTTCTGAGAGTTCAAGAAGCCCAAGGAAGGCATACATGGCTTGACATCCAATTTTTAGAGAGGGCAGAGGCAGCAAAGGGGTAAGGAGAGTATAGCTCTTTGGGCCAGGGCAGCAGCAGCGTGGGGTCTTGTCTCCACCTCAGGTGGCCAAATGCCTTGAGCCACCACTGAGCACCAAGCTTCTGTAGCTAGGCCTTGGCTTGGGATTCATCCACAGCAGCAAATTAGTTCAAAAATAGCAAGCATGAGTTGCACAAATTCATCAAAAATAGCAAGCATGAATTGCAAGCACTTTATGCATCAACAGTATTAAGTAAATTATAATTTATATCTTAGCAGAAGCACCAGAGGTGATGTGACGGAGTGATACCAAGAATAATCACCCAATAATAACACCTTTGGTTATTCCTGCTAATGTATAACCAAAGTACAGACTTCTAAAGAAATTATATAATATACAGCCAATTAGTAGAAACACTAGGGGAAGTATAATTGGGTGATTTTTAAAGATAATATCAGGTAATTATGAGCTGGTACTTTTAATCTTTTGAGAACAGCTACAGTGTTCATTGCTAGACGCTAGAAATCTATAAACCTCCCACTAGTGCTGCTGTGGTTAAAATAAAAAAAAAGAAAAATATGATGATTATCAAACAAAGTAAAGCTGAAGAAAAACAGTAATTTTGAAGACCCCTGAAATTGGTCTGAGAGGCTTCAGTTCCTGTAGAATGAATACATACTTGTTTTGTCTCTCTGCTACATTAGTAAAATGGTGTTTGCAGTTTTTGAAACAATATGAGAACCTGCAGTACCTATTTGTTAGAGGTGAAGTAGGATAAATGTACACACTGTACACAAAGCAATCCTCCTTTCAGACCACTTTCCACATTATGTTATTCTCTCTAGTCTTGGTTGTGTGTGTTAATACGCTGATGTCAAGGTGGCAGGCCTAGTACTTTCTAGAGATAAAACACCATTGATTCTGACATTGTGAATGTGATTGAAATCTGTAAAAACAGCTGACGGTAGTAATAAAAGTTAGGTCGGAGGTCAGCTGACTTTCCCTCTGGGCGAAATGAAGCTCCCAAGGGCCTCTGGGTGGTGGTGCAGTGCTATAATGATTAGATGTGGATGTTGCATGTGTTACATTGCAACATAGTACAATGGAGCTCTACAGGGTAGTGTGACTCACCAAGCTCATTTGTTTAGCCGCCATTGAGCTGTACTGACCTACTTTTTCTGCCTTCTGGCTATTGCAACCGGGAGACTATTTCAGCACAGCCTTTTCACACATACAGTTGCATTTAACTCTCTCAAAATAGCTAGTGAGTCTTGTGAAGAAAGGCCCTCTTCTCCTACCCACGGGTAAAGTGATGCAGAGACTTACCTCAAAAATCTTGTTTGAGTATTCGGTCCCCTGCTGAAAATTAGGTGCCGTTTCATATAGCCCCAAAGTCAGCTGGGAGCATGTGAAGAATTCAGAGCTTATTCAGAGCTGGCCAGGAGGCAAAGTAATTGTCTGATTGCGCTGTGCAGCGGCTGGGAGAGTTTTCAACAGAGAGGGAAGATCGTTATTAGACTTCCCTCCATTACGTACTGAACTCTGATCTGGAGCATTCACACTTGACCATATTTAATGGGTTGCCAGCCTGCAGGTGGCAGCAGATGAGATCCTGCTATTACAGCTGATCTCCTGGCGGCAGAGATGAGTTCCCCTGAAGAAAATGGCCGCTGTGGAAGGTGGGCCCTATGGCATTATACCCCACTGAAGTCCCTCCCCTTCTCAAACCCCACCCTCCTCAGGCTCCACCCCCAAAATGTCCAGGTATTTCCCAACCCAAAGCTGGCAACCCTGCAGATTTTGCACGCTTTTGAATTTACCACCCTCTCTGGTATGTTTGGGCCCTGTGACTCTGCCATTCACTTTTCCAGCAAGAAAACCCAGACCATCCTCTCTTTGTTAGGCCCTATATGAGTTTCCAGACTAGGATTCTCATCTTCCCGTACCTGACACAAACACCCATCTGTTATTAGAAGGTTATATGTACATCCTGTGAAATCACAGCAGGTCAGCCAATGGCTGGGAAACATTCGCTTGCAGGAGACAGGCAGCCGCTCTGTAGCCTATTATGTATCTAAGAATGTTGGAAGCCTAGCCTGATTAGTTCAAAACCAGGACACAGCAGGAAATTTCATTCAGGGAGATTAGCCCTAAGAAGATTCATTGTTATTTGTTTCCTTCCTCATTGCCTGCAGCGTTAAAAGTTTAAAAAACAAACAAAAGTAACAGGATCAAGAATACTGCCTTGCCACAAAGTCCTTCTGTTGCAATCTGCCCTTGGAATTTGTCAGGATAAACAGAAGAGAGCCTTGTTGCTAGGATGTAGATCCACTCAACTAGTGCGCTGAACCAAGGGACAGGTTTCAGTTTATGAGAAGGAAGCAGAAAGCGATGTTATTGTATATTGGGACAATAGCACTTAGGAAGCTGGTCCCAGGGGTGCCTCTGACCTCAGATCCTGGGGTTCATAATGAGTTAGAAACCAGGCTTGTGCAAAAGAGAGCCAGTCTGGTATAGCCAGAGATCAAGCGTGGTGTAGCAGTTAAGAGCGTCAGGCTAGAACTTGGGAAGCCTGGGTTCAAAGTGGGACTTGGCCATGAGGGTCACTGAGCCGGCCACTCTCTCTCAGCCCAAGATATCCCACAGGGTTATTGTGAAGATAAAATGGAGGAAGGGAAAGCTACAGGCTCTACCCTGCACTCCTTCAGAGGAAGAGTGGGATTTTTTTAAAAAATAACAGGTTCAGGGGTGTTTCTATTTGTATAGGATGTCAGTATATGCTGTTGTTGGTTCCCTTGATTAAGGTATTGTTCTTAACCTGGTTGATGGATCAGCTGCCATCAGGGAGCAATTAGGAAACATTGTTTGTGGCATTTGGAATAGTTAAAGTGAGCATGTGAATATTCGTCCGTCACATTGAATTTCAGATGAGCGTTTGTCTTTGTTCCTAGTTTAGGGGTGGCACTCTCTCTTGCCTTAAGGATTTATGGCCTTTGTTGGGCAGATTAGATGGGGGCTGATAGATGAGGAGGGGCCTGTCAAGAACCAGGAGAAGAGCAAGCAAGATGAGACTAGAGCCGGCAGAGCTGCAGCATCAGAAAATGTGTTCGACTCAATCGGCAGGTGCTTAGGGTGGGCTTCTTGCACCCTCCCCTGACTTCTTCTCATTCTCTGTCTTGTAGTGTAAACTGGAGCAGCAGGCCTGCCTAACCAGCAAACAGCTGACAGTCAAGTGCGAGGGGCAGTGTCCGTGCTCAACCGAACATAACCCGACCTCAGCCACAGATGTCAAGCAAGGTCAGCGAGAACCATTTGCAAATATGATGGCTTCTATCCTCAGCTTCCCTCCAGAAGTAGATGCAAGTGAACAGCAGTGGGTGTGAGAGTGGCATTTCGACCCATGTTCTAGGCCTTCTGTCCTCTTTGACATCATCCAAGTACTGGCAAAACTTCCTTCCCCATTCACAAACATCACATCAGGGGCTTGGCTCCAGGCTATGTTTTCCAGCAGCAGAATGGAACTTTCCTGCGTCCCCTGTCCCCCCCACACACACACTGCATCCCACTCATGTCTACAAAATGCTACTCCTGGTGGGACCTTGAGTAATGATGCTGGGGTGGGGATTGCATCAGGAAGGGGAAACTGCCAATTTAGCCTGGACCCAGCCCATAGTGTGGAATACTTATTTTGCTGGGAAGGTTAAAAGCAGGTTGCACCTCCCAACAGCTGCCCACATGGTCGCTGCCTTCCATATTGTATCTTCGGAGTAGCCGTCCTGTTCTGAATGGCAGGGAAATTTAAAGCAGGAAGATCAACTTTTGGTTCAGTTCCAGAACAGATTCATTTGTGACTAAAGTTCAGTTCCTGTTTAAGCAGAAACAGTTCAGGAATTGGTTCAGAGCAATTCCAGAACTGGTTCAGTTCTGCTGTATCCTCT